ACACTTCGCCTACCCTCACCACGACGCCCTGACTGGCCCGCGACGGAAAGACGACTTCGACAATTTCTCGCGGGCCATTGGGACACACTGTATCAAGCAGCTGCCTCTGCTGTCACCATGCCACCCCCTCCCCGCCACGTACCTGACACTCTTGGGAAAATATCCCGCGCCGAGGGCTTGGTACGCCGAGGCAGTTTGCGACGGGCTCTGCTCGCGTTGACTTCGACCCCAGTCAGCAAGTCCACCCCCACGGTGCTGGACGCGCTGAAGTCAAAACACCCCCCTCCGCTTGTCGAAAGCCTCACCTGGCCACGGCTTGACGAAAACTGCAGGCCGCCGACAGTCGATTTCGCTACGTTCGCGAAGCTCCTCTCTCGCTCCGAAAATGGAGTTGGGGCAGGCCCCTCGGGGATGACCTTCGAGCACCTTCGCGACGCCTCGCTGTCCAACCCCACCGTCGCCACAAACCTCCACAAGCTCGTCCAGCGGCTACTGGCGGGTAACCTGCCGCACGAAGTCAGCCAGCTCGTTACCTCCTCACGCCTCCTGGCCCTTACCAAGCCAGATGGGGGTACCCGCCCCATCGCAATAGGAGAGTGTCTCCTTCGGCTAGCGGCAAAAGCCGCGCTAATCTCCTCCACGCAATCCGCGCAAGACTACTTCCTACCACACCAATACGGGGTAGCCATCAGGAGCGGCGGAGAAACCATTATCCATGCCACCAGGGGTTTTACCTCAGCGCGCCCGGGCTCACTCATCCTACAAGTCGACCTTTCAAACGCCTTTAATAGCGTTGACCGCACGGCCATCATCCACGCCATTAACACCTCGCCCCTGCGCCCGCTCCTCCCCTTCATTCAATTCTCCTACGGAGCACCGTCGCTGCTCTACCTCGACGCCGAGTTCGACAGCCCACCCCTACTCAGTGCGCGGGGAGTTCGCCAAGGGGACCCCATGGGCCCCCTCCTCTTCGCAGCCGCCATCCACCCAGCGCTCCGAACAACCGCCGTGGCCCACCCCGAGGTCCTCTGCCTCGCGTACGCCGACGACATCACCTTCGTCGGCGATCCGGACTCCTGCACCTCGGCGTTCCTCAACTTCACAGCGGCCATGGACCGCATCGGTCTCTCCCACAACCCCGCGAAATGCGCGGCGTGGTCAGCCGAACGCCCTGCACCTGACCACCTTCCCCCAGGCATACCTTTCAACACAGAAGGTGTCCGCATACTTGGCAGCTTTATAGGCACAGCCGAGGGCACAGCTGCATTCCTCCGCACCCAGCTGTCCCTGCTAGCCGAACCCCTCGCCACACTGGCCACAATGGACCCCCAGTCCTCATCCCTCCTCCTCACACGCTGCGTTTCTCGGCGTGTCTCATACTTAATCCGCACCACCCCCCTTGACTTCCTTCCCCTGGACGTCTGGTCCGACTGGGGTAGGGAGCTCTTCCATACCCTCCTGCGTGCCTGCAACCTCCAACCACCCCGAGGCGAGGTGGAGCGGGTGCGCACTTGGGCTCAAGCGTCCCTCCCTCCCTCTCTTGGAGGACTGGGTCTAACCGACCCCGCCATTGAGGGCCACCCAGCCTACCTCACCAGCCTCACCCAAGCCCAGGGCCTCTTGGCTGCCCTACCAGCAGCGTCAGGAGGGCCCCTGGCCGACGCTGTCCGGCACCTCACGCCACCTTTCACCAGCCCCACCCACTTGCATACCTGGCTGGCGAAGTGTGAAACGGCGATGCCCCCACGAGCCCGGGAGCTCCTGCACTCCGAGAGGAGGGAACCCTCCGGCTCCCCACTCCAACACCGCTTATCCCTCAAAGTCCAGGCTGTGCGATACGCCGGCCAGGTGGCAGCCACGCGGACAATGGACCCAAACCCACTCTCTGGGCACACCCAACGCCTCTTTTCCCTAGCTGGATATGGAGCAGGGGACTGGCTTCATGCCATCCCCATCTTCCCATCCCTCCGCCTCGAAGCTCCACACTTCGCCATTGCCCTGGCCTTCCGCCTCGGCCTTCCATTCCCAGCCCCCCGCACTTGCAACTGCGCCGAGGAATTCGAAATCCTCGACACCAGGCTGCCCAACCACCTGCTCCGGTGTGGCACCGGGCACGGACGGACTGACACCCATAATGCCCTGCTGGACGAGAGCATACGGATGGCCCGAGATGCTGACTTTATAGTCACCAAGGAGACCACCATCTACAGCCCCGTAGACGGCCACAAGGCCGACCTCGCCCTCCGAGACCGCAGTTCCGGAGCTGTCTGGATCTGTGACGTCACCGTCACAGATCCCATCAGCAGCCGGGACCCGGACGCAAGAAAAGGACGCGGATACATGGCCCGGGAACAAGCTGACAAGAAAATCTCCCACTACCGAAATCGGGCTCCCTATGTCGGATTTTTCCCACTGGCAGTCGAGACATACGGCTGCCCCTGCGCCGAGGTCCCTACCTTCTTGAAGCTGCTGGCTGACACAGGGGCCAGGAGACTTTTCA